TCAGGCTGTTTCCCTGGATATGCCAGCGGGACGCTGACTTATTGGCATTTCTTGCTCAAACGCATTTAACGCGCGCCAGAAATTACGCTCGCTAGCATTTCCCACTCGATGACTGCACAAAGTGTTGCCCCATCGGCCGAGTGTGCGCCGAGTGCCCCTCGCTGCAGTTCGATTCAATTGAATTTTAGTGTAAAACTTTGCCGAGTTACTAAGCCCAGCGTCGGCTGAACTCCGTTCACATTCTTTTGCGCTAAAAATTCTGCTTTATTTTTATGTACGCTCGCCACGCCCACGTCGACATCGATTAGAGTGGGCTGGTAATTTGGTTTATGTGCATTTGCTTTGGCTTTGCGGCTGAGCGAAATAAATTAGAAATTATTGGAGCAGCATCATCATCAGTTTTTCGGGGGTAGCTTTTCTCGACTCGACTCGACTTCCATTTATTTATTTTTCCTTTTTTTTTCCCCCCTCTTAAGCAGCCAGTCAGCAGTGGCTACCAATTGAATTTAAGTGGCAGCAAAATTTCTGTAATAAACATAAATGAGAGAGCGGGCAACAAATAAAACTTGAAGCACAGCCCCAAACTAAAATTCGATTCCGGGAGGCGATGTTTCATTAGCAACAAAAACAGGACTGTGCAGTGCTACCCTTGCTATGCGAAACGAAACTCAATTAAACACACCCACACACAGATAGACCTACATACACTCTCACACACATACGCATTAGCTGCGTGTTGCCATTGTAATGGAAACTGCAACAGAATTAGAGCAGAAATTACGCTTATGACAGTGTCCATTGCACGGCTGTGCTCGGCTGGCGCGAATACCCTATAAATAAATACACATATTTTTTTATGAGCCGCATGCGGCGTACGGAGGTGCGGGGTGAACAAATTAATAACAATTTATTTGGCTCTTGAGTTTCCTATTAATACGGCACACGACAAAAACGAGAATTGACTGCTGAGTGTGTCTTCTATATATACGTAATGCAGCTAGGCTTCCACTCTTAATTAATTATTTGGCATGCTCTCTTGCATCGTGTGCTCTTTCAAACCGCTCATTTCTAGCCGAATGCTATTCGTCCATTGAAATCAGAAGAGAGTCAGTAGCCATCTCGCTCTTATTTACCAACAGGTGGCGCTGCTCCCAGCAGCAGCTATCGTTGTCTCACTTCCGCTCGCAGTATGCAGAATGAGAACGCAACTCAAACGCAAACTCACTCGGATTAAGCTTTCAGAAGCTCTCAGCTGCTCACCAATACCAATGCAACAGACGAAGCCAATCGCGACAAAGTGAAACACAATTAGGAGAGCGTCAATTCCAATGAGGGCGAATGAGAGAAAGAGCAGCAACGAGCAATATCACTTTAAATGAGAGTAACTTACATATGCGAGAGTGAGAGCACAAGCTTATGCATAAATGCTAATTCTAATTCAAGTTCATATGTACAGCTGCGATATGTATATCCAAATACTCAATGCATATGCCTCTCTATCAACTAAAATACAGGGCATTGTAGCGAGCCACTGCCCATATCATTGTCTCTAAGTGCAAGTCACATTTTGGCTGGCTGGTGCATGTAATCAATACCGATTGTTATGGCTGTGGTAACAGCGTGGCTATCATGAAAGTCTGCCTTGTGGCAATGGTTAAGGCTCCATTCCATGCCACGTGTGGCCAGGTGAGACACAGCTCAAATTGCAAATACAAAATCAGCAGCATGCACTCTGATGCCATATACCAATTTGCAAGCGAGCTTAATTAAGAGCCCAGCCGCATTTTATTGTCACACACACACACACACGCACACACTAATTGCAGCTATTTCATGCTAGTATCTAATTAATACTATATATAAACCAAGTCAACAGCCCTTAAATAAATGCAGATAAGAGATAAGCAACTGGATGAAAAAATTTCGATAGACTTTAAATTATCTTTATCATTTTCAGCTATAAAAAAAAATGTTGGAAAAAAAACTTGAAAACTTAATTTCTTTTGGTTTTTTCTATGTTTTTCTTAGTTTTCTCGCCCCTTTGGTGTGCCATAAAAAAAAAACTTCAGCTATTGCCATAAGAACACGGCAATGAGTTTCATAATAGTTGCTAGTTATTAACATAATTATTATTAGTTTTTTTTCTGCATTGCCCCACTCATGGGGCTGACTGCAAACTTTTGTCAGTTAAATTATCTCAAGTTTAAGATTTGAGCTTATCGGACTTCAGTTCAAAATACTTGCCAACAGCTGCTACCGACTGTCAACTAATTATGAGCTCATTTTTTTGGTTTAGTTAAAGTGACTTTAAGATTTGACCAAAATCTTGTCATTTTTAAATTAATAAATAGTTGAAAGTGTAGCTTGAATTAGAGAGAGTCAATGCTTATAGAACTTAAGAGTTTTATGATACACAAAAAGTCCTTCAAAGCTATTTAATTTCCCTCTTTTATAACTTTGTAGTTAAGTTTCTAAGCAAGCAGCCGAACCTCCAAGCTTTATAAAAGTGGAATGTAAAGCTTGTGTTTGGAAAACGTTCCAAAGCTATAAATAGCAGAGCTTCAATCCTGAACAAGCTTTAAATACCAGAAAAGCGTCAAGGCTTTTACGGCACAAAGAGCTTTGACTGGGATCAAAAGCTTATCATGTTTTAAGGATTTTTAGCTGCGTTTCGTGCACCGTTTGAGGGAAACTGCTTTTGGCACACCATTTTAGAACACAAAAGTCAAGCTGATCTAAATTCTAGAAACGAGGCACATGTCTAGGCCTCTGTAAACAGACAGCCTGCAAATGCATATACATATAAACATATACACAAATATACATACATATGCCTATATACGCTGATAGCTATAAAAAGAGACAGATACACTATAAAAGCTGTTGCAAGTGAGAGGGCAATTGACAACAGACTTTGGGGAATTCCCCGTTACTTTAAGACCTTGATTGACATATGGACCTGACATCGACAACAAATAAAGTTGACAATAAGTTTATCGGCTTATGGTTGATATATACCATGCCAAAAGGGGAGCGTTCACTATCTCACTTGAGCGCCAAGCCCAGGCAATTGAGTTAATCGCATTAAAGCAGATATACGAGTGTTGCCAAGCAAAGTGGGGAGAAAAATTTACGGAAAATCAAAGGTAAGCACTAAAGCTGCTAATAATCGAAAGAATAATAATTAAAATATGCTGGTGGTTTTTTTCTTCTGAATTTGACATCAAGTTTATTGTGTATTTCATTTAAATATTGAATATTTCCTTCTGGATTTTCGAATAACATTTAATTTAAAACATTTAAAAACGTTTGCAGAGAATTTCGCTGAACTTAGTGACCAAACATATTTCAGTGTCATAAATATATAATAAATATACATGTATGTATATATACATATATAATATAATTAACTCTATAATACATACAATACAATAAATTCTGCTTAGATATTATATAAAACACACATGAATTCTGTTCGGATTAAAATATACGAATACCATACTCCATATATAATTTATTATACATATACATACATACTATATATCATCATCATATACATATAAAAGTCATATGCACAAACTTACACAGTTAAGTTTTATTGTAGAATGCTTACATCGAGAATAGAATGAAGCACAAGTCTTTATAGTTGTTGGGAACATTTACATATAGATACATATATACACTAGTGTTTCTGTTTCTTTCTTTTTTTAGCATTTACTAGATAGCTCGAAATGTACAGTTTTTCTTTTTTTTTTTTTGGTAATTATACCTTGCTGAAGTTCTAATACATTTAAGCTTACAGTTATCTACCTGCTAGATCTTAGTAATTCACTTTCTTTCGCTTAGGTGGATCCTTTTACGGTTCTTTATTGATATTTATCTTCTTTTTTTCTGGATAGAACCAACTACATGAAATCACAAATTCTAAACACTCTTTTACTTTAGAAGTAAAATTTCTTAAATTTCTCTTATTATTTTATTTATTTTTTTTTCTATTTTCTTTTTAGCGCAAACGATTGTCAAATATTTAAATTTAATTTGAATATTTAAAAACAGTTTCTTTTTAGTAAATATTTGTAGATTTATTTTTAAATATATCTATATAGTTTTTTTAAATATTTCTTATTTTATTTTTTTAATATTTATTTTTTGTATTTTATATGTTTTATTTTCTCACATCCTAAAAATTTGTCTCTTACATGTTGCCTAACTATCTCATACTCTCTTCCGTTTGCTGTAAATTTTTTTTTTTTTTTGTATATTTTAAATAATAATTAATTATTTTCGTAAAAGTTTTATTGAGCATTAAACATTTCACAATTGATCAACGACTCAAGTATTTTCATAGGCTCTTTAATCCCATCCTTCCACATTCTCTGATATCTGTGTTTTTGATATTTTGTACTAGCCGACCTCACAATTGGTAACCTGACAAATTTTATTTATTTCTGTACATCAAAATAATTAATTTAATACACACAGAATATATGTGACGTTCAACATTCAGATATACAATATTTTGCTGTTTGAATATATGGTTTCTTCTTATGTAAATATTTATATATTTATGGTATGTCTGTTCGCTTTCAAATGCATTGTCTGCCATCTTAGTAAAATATATTTATGTATACATATATATTGTAGTTTTAGTAGAATACACATCATCAACAATTCTTCAACTTTTCATTTTTGCACTTCCTATTGACAGCCTCGCATTCACTTGATAAGTGTTAATTGTTAAGCTTAAAACTCAAATAAAAATATGTTATTCTCATAAATCATGAAATCTGATATGCTACGAATAAATATGCTTTGTTTAATTTTTTAATTAAAAAAAAAATACTGGAAATAAAAAAGACTAACCCCTAACTGAAATGCTACTTAAACACTGGATTAATATTGTTGAAGAGCAAAAAGAGAAAGCTTATTCATTTCAGTTATACTTGTGGATCTATTTTTAAATATACTGAATGCTTCATTATTATTATTTTTTTACAGCTATTTAAATTTTATATTCCTTAAGCTTTTAGCATCCATACGAATAGCTTACTCATAACAATAATGTGCTTTAAAAGCTTATAGAAATCTGGAAATATTTTAAAATAATGCCATGAAATGCACTTTCCGATTACAAACGAAATTGATCGAATACCTATGAGTATTTACATATACATAGGTGTGTACTTGAGCTTTAATGAACTTTTCAAGCTCAACTTTGTGAGCCTGTCTGCATTGAAACTAAAATCAAGTACATTAAAGCCCATAGCCGTTTCATGTACTTAAAAATACATATGCTTCTAGTCAAAGCTTTGTAGAAAATTATGTGAAAGCTTTAAGAAAACATTTCTAATATACATATATTTACAAATTGGAAACTTCTTTCTTTTCGTTCTACCAAAAGTCTATATCATTGATATTCGATAGCACGCTCTATGCACAAATTAACCCAATTAAGCGAAAATTTCAGTATAATAAATTAATAATCAATGTGTGTGTCTCTGCATGTGTGTGTATGTGTGTGTGTGTGTTACTGTTGATATCTTATAGATATTAAAAGTACAAGCGTCTTCGTATTTCAGTATTAATTAGGAAATAAATCACGCACGTCGGCATGCATGTAAACGAATCCACACACGTCTGCCTACGTTTGGCAACCTTGAGGCTACCACAAAAATCCTGCTCCTCCTGCTCCTGCTACCTATTCCATACGCAACCCGACCCCCCCATTTCCAGCAGCTGGCAAAACACAGAGCTCAGTTTGCCAGTTTTAGAGTTTACTTGGCGCTGGGATCGCGCAGCGAACGTGTGGATGGCAAACCGCGTAGGCCCTTCTCCAATTTGTCGGCATCGCCGGCAGAAAAGCGGAAATTCATTGCATGCCCCTGGCTCTGGCCCTGGCCTTGCCCCTGGCTTTGATTGACGCCCAACAGGAAACGATTCCGTTGTTTGCCGCCAACCATTCCATTGGCTGCCTCATTGACGCCGCTGGCCACATCGACCATGATGCTGCGTGAGCCGCGTCTAGGACCTAGCAGCTCCACGCTCTCCTCCTCGTCGAGGCCGTAGCCGGTGACGCTGGCCGTTGGCACGCCCATCGCCACATTGGCCACCGGCACTGGCACTTTGGCTGGCGGCGAGTACTCGGCATTCGCCTCCGACAGCCGTCGGTATTCGCCGCTGCGCGAGTGCTGCAGCTTCCAGGAGGCGCGTCGCGTGTTTGCCACACTGTGAGTGCTGGTGCTGCAGTGCACCGATGCATTGGTGGTGGTCAGATTGCCGGTGCTCTGCGAGACCAGGCAATTGGAGCTGGAGCTGCTGCTCGAGAGGCTGGAGTTGCTGCCGCCGCTGCCGCTGCGACGCATGCTGCGCTTACAGCGCTGCTGATGTTGCTGCACCTGCTGCTGCTGTTGCACCTGCTGCTGTTGCTGCTGCTGTAGCTGCTGCTGGTGATCCTGCTCCTGTCCAGCTAATTGCTCCTCTGGCGTTAGCAGCGCATCGGTGCTCTTGCAACAGCTCTGATGGCTCGCTGAATGCTTCATGGTCCAGCGAAAATCATTGGAATTCTCATCGTCCAGCGGCGGATAAACGCGTCCGCCAGCTCCAGGCGCTGCCAGCGGCGCCTGGCTGCCCAATAGGCGTTCCTTGGAACCACCTAAGCCCGGCTCTGTGGCCAGCGGCGAGACGCACTCATCAATGGTGTTCAATGGCGAGATTTGCAACGTTTGCTTCTGCTGCAGCATTTCGATTTCGCTCTTAATGACCGGCTCAATGCCCAGCAGACCGAGGACCAGCCGCGGATTGGCGAGCACAAAGCGCTCAAAGGTGGGAAAGTCGATGCGATAGAAGTCGGTTTGGCAGCTGCGGCTCGTCTTCTGCACGGCCTCCACGCTGGCCGGCGAGCCGGCCTTTGAGCTGGGCGCCGTTGCCATGGCCGGCAGCTGCATTTCGCGGCCCCAGACCTCCGGCGGATGCGACGAACAGCGCTGCATGGCCGCTGCCTCGCTCAGGCCCAAGGCCAGCGGCCCGTCCATCAGCTGGGCATCGCCAGCGCCCAGGCCCAGGCCCAGGCCCAAGCCCAGGCCGCGTGCAGCTGCGACGCCACTGATGTTGGGTATGGAGCGTGCCGGCGGAAACTTGAGCGAGCCGCCGTGCGAGCCGATGGCAGCGGATGAATACGCCATTTCCTGCAGTGCGCTAATTGCATTGCGCACCTCAACACTCAGCTGGGCGACATCCTGATGCAGGGTCGAAACCTGCGAGTCAAGGCGCTCCAGCGAGGGGCGTTTCGTGCCCGCCGACTCCTCCTCAATGGGCGGCTCCAGCTCCTCGAACGAATTGCGATCCAAGCTGCTGGCCATGTTGAGGGGACGCTGGCGTTTGTTTGTCTCCCGCAGCGTTATCAGGGAGCGGCCACGCTGATGCAAGCGCTGATGACGCGGACTATTCATGCCCAGCAGCGGTGAGCGCGTGATGCTGTGATGTGGCGACGATGTCGACGACAGGGGACCAGCCCCAGCGCCCGCACCGCCAGCGCCACCGCCCTCCTTATCCTGCTCGTCGCCGCACTCGCCCTCCTCCCGATTCTCGTCATCCTCACTGATGCTGGGCAGTGGAAATGAGGGCCCAATATCCGATTCTTGATTCTCGTAGCCTTCGCGCAAATTGAATGTCAGATCGTGCTGTATGTCATTCGCGAACTGCTGCTGGTATTCCGGATACAGACGCAGCACCTCCACCAGACCGCCCATGTGTATGCACTTCAGATCGCAGTAGGTGAGCGCCTGCAGAAATGAAAGCACGAAAACGTTTTATGTTAAATGATTATGCACTACTCTCAAGTATGTTGTTGTTGTCGTTGTTGTTGTTGTTGTTGTTGTTGTTGTTGTTGGCTGCCTGACTGACTGCCTGCCAAGCTGTTTGCCGGAGCCTCTCAATGAGTTCCCAACAGCAGGCGACCTTATTTACTATGCAAGCCTGCCTAGAGTCCATTGAAATATGCATTCACTTTGACTGCTGCTCAACATATTATTCAATTTATTTATTGTTATTTTTTTTTTTTATTGTTTTACTATTTGTTTTCTGTACAACATTTATGTATATTAATGCCAGATCCCCTTTAACAAGAATTACTCCTCCCACACCATAACATGCTATGCTATTAACAGCATTTTGTTATTAACATAGCCCCAACACCAGTTCTCTTACTAGTTCGCGCACCACATAATATTATTTATAAAATGTCGTTTGTTTGCTGTTCAAAATAATATGCAAATTAAATATAACTTCATTTTTTTCTACTAAAAAATATATTTTTTGTCTCAAATAATTATTTAAATCAATTGTAAAACAAATAAAAAATTGTTTGCTTGCTGCTCAAAATATTTCTTTTTCGGTTTAAAATATTTTTAAAATTAATTGCAGTTTTTTTTATATTTATTTTTATTGTTTTTTAGTTTTAAAAAATTAATTGTAATTTGAGACTTCCATTATAATTTCATAATTCGTTTAATTCAATTAACTTGCACAATTAATCAATAATAAATAAGGTGAAGCAACATAATTGTATAAATTAATACATTATAAAATAATATAAAATATTAATTTTTTGTTTAATAATACATTCTAAAACACGCAGTAGATAATTAAAATTAAATATTTAATTGGCAGTTCAAACGCGAGTGATGAATTTAATATTATATAATATTTCATGCGCGCTCTTCCTCACTCTCTCATTCCCACTCACTCGCTCATTCCCTTTCACTCTCTCATTCCCTCTCTCTCTCTATCACACTTCTAGTTCCCTCTCACGCTCTCATTCCCTCTCTCTCTCTCTATCTCACTCCTCATTCCCTCTCACTCTCTCATTCCCTCTCTTTCTCTGTATCTCACTCTCTCATTCCATCTCTCTCTCTCTCTCTCACTCTCCTCAAATACTTTTGTTTCATTTCAACGAAAGAGCAACACTTAGTCGACTTGCTCACGCTTCATCTCACTTCACTTGTTAATGTTGACGCCTGGGCGTCTTCTTTACATGCTCAAGTGCACCATCTTGGCATACACACACGCACAAGCACACAAACTTACAGCAGAGCAGCCCCTCTCACACACACACACACACATTACGTTTAAGTATCACTCATACGCCCCGTTGTTGTTCTTGTTCGCTGACTGCCACTTCTGGCTGTACCTGAAGTGGCGCCGCGACTAGCGCTCGCCGCGTGCAGCCCTTGACAAATGTCTGCGCTTTATTTACGCTCTTCTTTTACTCTGCTCACAAAGGCTGGCACTGAAGCCCATGCAAAATATAAATAAATGAATGAATGCCTGTGAAAATGGACAAGGCAAAGCAAAGCAATTGCAGCGCTGGCCACTAATTAAGCGATGATCTCTTAATTTAAATTTTAAGCGTTTGCCAGTGGCCAGCCGCATTGTTGCATTAATTAACTGACAGTTATGTAAGCCACAAGCACACACACACACACACGCACACGCATAACTCCTGTGGCTTAAATTTTGCGCAAAGAAAATATTGAATTTTCCTCTGCTGCAGTCAAGTGGAAAGTCCTCTTCGGCTATAGCTTAAATACATCGTCTACACGCAACGTGATAAAATTTACGACAAGCCAACAAAAATAAACAAACATGAGAGACAAAATAATGAAAATAAACAAATGTACCAAATCAAGAGAGCTTTAACCTCTGGCTTTAAACAAGAAGAAGAAGAAGTAGCAGTAGAAGAAGAGCCGACCTTAATAAAAAATATAATTAAAGCACATTTAGAGCACAAAGCAGAAAGCACAGGCCAAGGCAGCACGGTAAAAATTCGTATAAACATAAAAAAAGTAAAGAGACAAAAAAAAAAAAAAAACAAGAGAACAATCTATTTAATTAGATGCCCATGCAAGGCAGACTAGAAAACATTCGAGGCCAAACAGAAGGCAAGAAAATGCTTAAGGGATCATTAACATAAAGTTCAGTCAGCATTTGAATACTAAGCAAATGACATCAGGTGTCGCTACAATGTAATCAAAAGGCTCTTAAATACAAATACAAATAGTTTGAATAAATTGCACATCCAAATTTATTATTTATGCATGGAAATATCGAAAAAAAAAGAGAAAAGATGGAAAGTCTTTAAGCAAATATAATCAGCTTAGCGACAGACGCAGTTCAGATCGATTTGGCTGTAAATCCTGAGCCATATATATACACACGTGCCTTTGTCTGCTTCCACTACATATATTTCCACAGAAACATTATTACCGTTAAAGCTCATTTTGCCAAGGGTTTACGACAAAGGAAAAAACAACTTCAAAGACTTTACATACGCCTTCATTGCGCTTTCAAGTATTTTTAATTTAATGTGTTTTCCAAAAATTTCATTTATATGGCAAATTTAAATTATTAACGCAACGCTTTCAATCTTAAATTTCTCTTACTATATATATTATATAATAAATATTTTATATAATATAAATTCATATTGAAAATTAATCTTAATTAATTTTGCAAAATTAATATTATCAAAATGTAAAAAAAAAAAAAAATAATAAAAAAATAAACAACTTTAAAAGTTTATATTAAAATTTAAAAAAAGAGAAACAAATAAAAATAATAAAAAAAAAAACTACCTTTATATTATTCATAAAAAAAAATATATATATATATATAAACAAATCAAAAAAATAGAAAAAAAAAAATTAACAAAAAATTGAACAGAACACTAAGCTAACTAACACAAAAAAAAAATGCTAATAAAAGTTAAAAATATTTATAAATAATAAAAGTAAATAACTTTCTTCTCTAAAATTAACAAATGTTCCATGAAGCCATAAGCTTTAGTTGAGCTGTTTTATTAACTTCATGACACTACGCTTATCCAAAAAAATTTCTATGATATATATATTTAACTATATAATTATTTCAGCTATCTTCTGTTGTCTAAGCTAAGCCAACAAATAGTCCATAAAATCTGTTTACTATGACTCCACTTACTGCTTGCGGCACAAATATCATGCAAACAATTCAACAGCCAGCTCAGGGCAAATGTAATTTGAGGCTCTGCTTACCTTTATGTCGCTGCTGCTGCGCACAACAACATCCTGGCCGGCACTGTTGGTGGTAGCCGTCATCTGGCCATTGCTGGTAGCCACCAGATGCACATTAATGTCGGAGCCCACCAGATCGCCCTTGCCTGTACAAATACACACACAGATAGATATATATATAGGTGCGTATATAGGTGTGTTTAAAACAAAAGGTCAATTGCTAAGTTGGAATCAATAAGCATAAAAATAGCAAGCATTTGTCTAGGCAGCATCGTGAATGACTAAACAAGCAGCCCAAGCTGACAGCGTTAAGGCCAGCTGCGAAGCGAACGAACTTGCGGGTTCAATAAACGCTTTGCCAACCATCGAAAGCAAAGAAAAAAAAAAAAAAGAACAACAACCAAATGGATAGAGTAAATGCAGATAAACCAAATGAAAACATGGCCATTTAGTCGAACGCGACTTGAACTTAAATATGCTCGAATGGAAGATATTGAAATCGACGAAAAATTCCTCACCCAAGATGGCAACAACCATGTCGTCCTTGATCACCTCCATGGAGCCATTGCATAGATAGTATATATTGTTGAGTGCATCGCCTTTGTGTATCAAGTATTCGCCGGGTGCGCAAAAGTTCGTCTTTATGTGCAGCGACAACAATTTCAAGCAGCCCTGCAAACAATAAAAGGTTCACGTAAATACCATTTGCTTACACTTTCAGTTTGAGTTTGGAGTTTGAGTTTGGAGTTTCGAGTTTTGAGTTTGAGTTTGGTGCCGTGGGCAATGGCTTCGCGTTCTTTTTATTTTCTTTTTTATTTCTGTTTATTTTTTATCTCTTTGCATTGAGCTGGTCAAGAAGCAACAGGACGCGGCAAGTTGCAATATTGGTCGTGTTGCTGTTTGGCGTTGCTGCCACTCCTGCCACTCCTGCTGCTGGAACGAAAAGTGGCTTAAAGCGCGCTTATTGCCGTTGAGTGGTTTCTGTTTGCCATCTGTGCATAAGCTTTATTAATGTTTGCACTTCGTATTGTCGCTTGTTTTATTTCACTATTTTATTCGCTGCTTGCTTTCTGTTTGCGCTTTGACCAAAAGCTTTAAATTCAACAGGCTTCAATGGAAAAATCAAAAAGTTATAGGGTCGCGCAACAATCGGTTAGAATTTTAGAATAATTGAAATTTTAGGTATTTGCAGAAATTTCGGCAGATTGGATTTCTTTTACAGAGTATTTATGGATCAAATCTTTGCAATCTAAAAGTTAATCCATATATGTGCATATTATATTTTTATCATTTCTTTTGCTTCTTTTAATTTTTGTACAGCTTGCGGCAAACTTGAAGGTAAAGGTGAAAGATTAAAGGCAAAAGTCTGCATTTATTTACACAGTTAAAGACAAGAAAGTAAATAACCCTAGGCAAGGAAAATATATTTATAGATTTCTTTATAAATTTCATATTTAAATAAATGGTGTGCTACTTTTTATTTTTATTCTGTAATTTAAGAGTATAATATTTTTTAAAAAAATTATGAATATGTATAATAATTTTTGGTGAAAGAAAATTGTAATTTTTATATTATTTTAAATATATTTTTTTTAATTTAAAGTATCTTATAAGTTTAAAAGAAATATTTTTAATTGAGTGTGTCATATATTTTGTAATTTAGTGAAACTCAATTTCCTTTTAATAATTTGTAACCATTAAAACACATGTATTTATTTATTTATTTATTTTTGGTGAGTATTTAATTAATAAGAAATTGTTTGCTGAACACATTTTTTTCAATTTAATAAAAATAATAATTATAAATTATTAATTACTATTTATTTGTAGAAAAATTCATCTTAAGTCATTATGAAAATGAATGATGGCTAGATGAATTTGACTACAAATAAATAATTTATAATTATTATTTTTATTATTTATTATTTTAATTTAATTTTTATTTTAAATTAAAGTTTAGACTGCAGTTTAAACATATTTTTTTCATATTATTTTTAATCAAAATTTAAATTTATAATTCATATTTTTCGTTCACTTTTGTTTTAGTTGCTGCTGCTGCACTGATTATTCAACAAGCTACTTACTATTCGGAAACAACTTTTGTTTCGAAATTCGTGTAAGACTAGGTTTTATCCGGTAAGTAGCTGAAAACAAAGTTCTGCGCTGCTTCAGTTCGGTTCGAAGTTTAGCCCAGAGGAGCAAACGTAAACTTGTCTTATCTGCGCATTCTCTTTTTGGTTTGAGAAACTTCTCGAGAATCGAGGGCAAAGTTTTGTGGATTCGCCACGAAAGAGTGAGCCGTTGGCGATAATGCAAGTGAAACTTAATTGGAAAATCAATTACTCAAGCGATACACGGGAGCATGCTTCACATTTGAGCACCATTTGCCAAAATGTTTAAGAAGGTGTGTCTGCGCGTGTGTGTGTGAGTGTGTCCCACAGCTGAGTGTGCCGTATGACAAGGGTATTGACATTGTCGTCTACGATAAACATCACAACTCGCACCGTTGCATTTGCTTTTACTGCTTGTCGCACTTTTTCTTTGGTGGCTCTCTTCCTCCTACTCTCTCTCTCTCTCTCTCTCTCTCTCTCTCAGTCTGTTTCTGTCGCACTCTGTCTAACTGGCTGCCTGCATGTGACCAAAAGTTTTGCCTAAAACCTTTTTCATGCTCCGTCGAGCTGTTGGCCAAAAGGCACACACGCGCATATCATTCAATGTATTAAATGTAAGTTTTACCTGTGCGTGTGTGTGTGTGTGTGTGTGAGTTAAGCCCGCAGTTGACTTTTGACTGCCCTGGCCAAGTTAGCTGTCGATTATTTTGGCATTGCCATCAGCATCAGCATCAGCATCATAAGACCGTTTGTTTGAGAACTTGTATGGCTTTTAAAGCGACGACGACCCCAGCAATAATATGGCAAAGCACAAGGGAAACAAACACACTCAGACACACACACACACACAGAAATACACTTATATATATATACATATACACACTCACCTGTGAGGCAGCCTCAAATATCGGCAGCTGTAATATTTCACGATGTAGATGCATGGAGACATCGCCACGCAGCTCCTCCGGAAATTCGCGCAGCGTCTGTGAAAGAATCGAAAAAAAGATAGAGAAAGAGAAAGGGAGAGAGTGAGTGAGGAGTGAGACTGTGTGAGTGAGGGAGAGGCAACAGTGAGAGTTGGTAAACACGAGTGTCAAGTGACGGAGCCCAAAAACTTACACAGCAAGCTACACACACACACACACACACACACATTCGCACACACTGTTGCAAATTGAATTGAACGAAATTGTCAGCATTTGACAATATTTTAGCTCATGCACTTTTTTTCTTGTCTTATTTCTTTTCTTTTCATAAGCAATATGTAAAATAAATAACTTTGTATCCTGCGCATCTTTCTTTCTTTTTTGTTTTTGTTTTTGTGCTTCAGTCCCCAAGGTGTGGGCCAGTGTATTGAATGAAATTGTTGAGAGGATTAATAGGAAAATTGAAAAGCTTTTGCATTTTGTTTGTTTACACATTTCCTTTGGTGGTTACTTTCGTTACACAGCCGTAGCTACAGCAACCGAAATATATACATATATATACATACATATTCTTCTGGGGCTTTTCATACAGACAATTTTAAGCGCGACAGACTATCTGTTGAATTTATGAATGAATATTATACGGCATAAATTTTCGACGTAATTTGTTTGACAACAAAGCCATCAACGAAATGCGTGAGTAAATATTGTGCCTCGGCGCAGGGCAGGACACGCCCTCGAGTTCACATGCAAACAAAGAGAAAGGCTTAGCCTGGCTAGCCAGGGCAAGTTGAGCTCAGGCTCTATGCACAGCCATAGCATATATTTAGCGTAGATGAAATTTTCAAATTTCCGGTGAATATTAGGGAATTTATACCATATAAATAAAGGCAGAGCTATGAATGCCGAGAAAAAGGGTTAAGAACATAAACAAGTAAAACATAAACTGAAAGAGCGAGAAAGAAGACAATAAAAAAATAAACAAATATTTAATTAACAACCATAAAAAGTGAAAAAAATGAAAAAATATTAATAAAATAAAATAATTGGTATTATTAACAAACAAAAAAAAATTATAAAAAAATATATATAATGAATTTAAATAGCTTATTCATCATAACAAAAAAAAATTAAATATAATGAATTTAAATATTTTAAATATCTTCTCAATTAAGTTTTTCCATTGAATTTCCCTGCGCTCGAAACCAACAAAATTTCCCTGTAAATCGGTTGAGCGAAAGCACATTAATTCAATTATTTCCTATGTTATTTCAAAGCCCCAGCAAATTCCATTTAATATATACTATGTTCGCAGAATATGGCAAATGTAATATATGAATATTTCAGAAATTTACTTTTAGAGATATTTACGTTTTAATTTAGCTGAAATTCGAAACTCATTTAACTCATTTAACTCATTTGCTGCCTAAATGCATAGACGAAATGTTTTGCGCAAATAACTCGAAAGGTTTTTGACAATTATTTACATTGACAGGGGCCAACAAATTTGTAGCCACGAACCAATACAAACACCCAACCAAAAACTAACCAATGTGTAGAAAGTTTCAAAAGTTTACACACTGTGTGTGTGTGTGTGTATTTACTTATTTAATGGAACATTTCCCCGAGGGGCAACTTTTGGAATTGTTATTTATGTGTGTTACTCAACCACAATATCTAAAGATGTGTAAAATATTTTACACTAATTGCATGCAGTGGTTAAAAAAACGCACACACACAACGGGTTTTATCGACTACAAAATACTCGTTCAGCCTTGGAAAAAAAATGGATGGAAAATATATTATCTTATGCGATATATTCAAGGGTTATAGAGGCAGAAATTCAGATTCAGATCTCAATAATAGCTCATATATTATAATTTACATATAATAGTTATCAAATCGTCGTTGGTATTTTTTTCTGTGGTACGCCCACAAACATGCAAAAATATCATTATATTATATATATATATATATTTCTAAAAAGTTCCAGTTCTAGCTGACGTTCAATTACTCGCAGAAATTCCCAATGAGCCTTGCTCGAAACCTTAGGGACCTAACAACCTTATTCTTTTATCTCTGACAAGTGTAAAACTAATATACCCTTTCACCCCTACCATCCAGGCTTAACAAGTTGGAGTCCCGAAAAATACATTCGGCCACACAATTCAAAGGCCATACCATTTTGTTGGCCAAGTTCGGGGAGTTCGCTTTCAAAATTACGCGCAAACACGCCAACACAATTTCTGATACAATGAAACACTCCGAATTGGCGAGCAGTTGGGGGCAGTCTGAGGAAAGGGGGTGTCAGAGTAGAGCTCTGACATTTTGCCAGTTAATTTTCATGAGCAATAAATTAACAATTTAATTTACTGCCGCCTGGCAACTGGCGCAACACTTTGCATGCCAAGCGGAGCTCAAGAGCAATATGTGTGTGTGTGTGTGTGTGTGTTCGTGTTTCCCAAATGTAATTAAATTAAATTTTGATTTAAACGCATTTGTTTTCGAAACAAATCACATGCATTGCGTACATAAATCAGTAACATATTGTGAGTGTTTATTACAAATAAACAGCTTGAATGCAGATTTAAATAAGTCTGGCTGCTTTGAGCTAGACATTCTCTCCCTCTCTCTCTCTCTCTCTCTCTCTCTCTCTCTCTCTCTCATTATCTACTCATATTGTTATTAATTTATCAAATAATCAAAGAAAGACATTTGACTTAAGGTATTTTTAATAGTAGCTAATCGAACCCAAGAAAAACAGTTCTATTAAATTAGTTGTTGCTCGATGTTTATTAATAACTAATTGACCATAAGTAATCATAGACTAATCAATCTTAGCCTGCCATGGTAACTGCTACTTACTACTAATTTAATAGATCTATAAAAATTACAGTCTACTACTACTCCAATTCCTACGATATTACTTTCTTGTCTCCAACCACTACTTTTATTGCAATAATACATTACTACGAATTTCACTGATATAACTTTCTGTTCTTTGTATAACTACTACTACTCCACTTCTACTACTACAAAACTACTATTACTACTTTCTTTAACATTTTAGATGTAACTACTACTACTTTTAATGCTACTACTACTATTTTTTCCACTTTTACTACTATTACTACTACTTTTACTTTGCAGCTAATTCTACTATTACTACTACTTTTACTACTATTATTACTACTACTTTTACTTTGCAGCTACTTCTGCTATTACTACTACTACTATAACTACTACTACTTTTACTACTACTACTACTTTCCCACTACCCACTACCTTTCCTATTTATACTTTGCTACTATTTCTACTACCTTTTCTACTACTTTTTACTAACAATACAACTTATCTTTCAATTGCTTATTTTATTACTAGTAGTAGGATTATTAGTAATAAAAATGATTTCTTTCGCTATTAATATACCTTACTAATGTCCATATCCTCTACTTCTGTTCTTGCTCACATTTCTACTGCTCTTTTTCCTACCAATACTGCTGCTTTTATTACACATTTCTACTCATACTACTACTAAATACTAATAATAACTAAGACTGCTAATACTACTTCTGTTACTAAAAGTTGTACTACTTTTTACAGCTGAGCCTTTTGCTAACTCTTATTCCACCATTTAAAACCTTTTAGAAACAAAACTGCAACTACCATAAAATCAGAGACTTCCATCGGGCGCTCCACATCAAGCTGCCTGTTATTAAATTTTCCCTTAAGAGCAGAATTATTACGCATGATTAGCATGGATTTCGATCAACCAAAGCTCCAAAAAAAGCAAAAATTTTAACAATTTTTAACAGCCATCAGCCGTTGTGTGCCTTGCCTGAGTATGTGCTGATGAAGAGCTTTACACGGATGAAATACGTCCTTCACCTATCTCAGCTCAACCTGATGCGCCTAATAGTCTGGCCCGGATGAAGCTGCTGCCAGAAATTAATTAGGCAAGTTTTTGTGGGAAGGGCGTGTGCCAAGACAAGCCTTAGCTGAGCTCGGTGAAGAGTTACGCTAAAAGCCTGACCATGCCATCGAAGCGTGCGACTGACAGACATTGAAAACTTCTGCTGGCCGAAACTGTCAGCATTTCGGGCAGTATTACGGGCCCAGAACATCAAAGCAAAACATTTGATGTGAGCTGCGCTAATTAATTTGCAGCTAATAGCAAATAGAATTGCAGCGCAAACTGTTAACACTCGCTGCCCAAAAACCCCAGTGCGAACTTTTGTTTCTACTCTTGCTATGATAAAGCCAATTAGCGAATGGCAATGTCAACTTCACGTACTTGTCCTACGTAAAATACACGCGTCGCACTGCAACAAAGTTGGACGCACTGTGCCAATTTGCCACGTCCGCAAGTTGAATGAAGCGCAAGAGATGCAGTGGGGGAAGAGTCACCCCAGTCGAAGAATTTTTGCATGCTGTGTGCGTAAAAGGGCAAAAGTTTGCCGTATAACTTCAGGTGGAAACTGAAACTTAAATGGATTTACCCCATGCTAGGTCAGATTTAATGAAGCCACAAATGGAATTATTATTGCTTTGCGCTGCGGTGCATTATTGATTTCGCAGAAAGGGCACAAAAACAAATGCAAATTTCCAGCAGTTCAATTAAAATCCCAACTATAAATAAAACTCAATTTATTCCCCATAAGCATAAGCATGTGTGCTCCCCATATTCATATACAGAGTGATTCGATAAACCAGCATATGCAATTCAATTATGTCCTTCGAATATGCATGCGATGTCTTATCGAGCCACGGGCAGACAAACGTCGTCTGCGTTGCGGCGAGAGTTGCTTCAGGATAATGCTTGAATGTTGGCAAATATGAGAATTTAATAATAATAAAAATGTATAAAATGTAAAAAATTATTAGTATTAACACATATAAAAATAAAGAATTTTTATATATTTTTTTTTATTTTTTTAGAACAAAATATTTAATAATAAATTTTAAATATTGTTTTTTTTATTATTATAATTAAATTATTTAATTATTATAATTATTATTGTTGCCAGCTATGATAATATTTAACTAAATATGGTTAGCAAAATTATTATTCAAAATCTGGATAATATTTAAAAAATATATATATATAAAAAATAAAAAATTTTGAAAAGTAAAAAAAAAAATAAATAACCTTCAAAAATTAATATAAAAAAAAATTCGGTTTGTAATCAATGATTTAAATATTCCTTTATGCTAAACAAATACCATTCAATAAAACATGCCTCAAAAATAATAATAAAATATATATATTTATAAATAATACATAATAATCAATATTGAATACAAATATAAAATTAAATTAAATACTAAAGAACATAATGCTCTCAATGAGATTATAATAATTAAACTGCAATAAAATGAAATGAAATGAAATACGTTTTTTTCCGTATCAATTCCCAGGGCAGCTATCAATATATGTTACCTGCTGGCCGACATGCAATCAAAAAGGATTCAGTCTCTTGGCAATGCCAATCAATAAGTCACATAGACAACACACACACACACACTGGCACAGACATCACTGATAGCTGACTTACAGCACAGCTCCTGTATATATATATATGTAGACGTACATATATATAAATTTATCTGCCCAACAGGCATTTGCTTAATTAAAGGCACACAGACATATCAAAATGCCAATGAAGCTGCACCGATTGTTCGATGCCAAAAGATGTTGCGTCGACAACTTTTCTCTGTGGGCATAAATGATTTACGTACGAAAACACACACACACACACACACACACAAACACATACATAAAGAGATAAATACGGGCAAGAGTCTGTGGCTGAGTTTCATAGTTTACCTCGTAGATATCAATGCCATGGCTGAGTGACCATGAAGTTTGAAAATAGTCCTCAATGCGCTGCTTCAGCTCCTTGGGCATCTGTAAAAAACAAGCAAATACAAAAATGCATATAATAGTTACAATGGCTTACGTTCTTCTCTTATTTGCAATAGTTATTTAGCTAATGAGCTGCAATGCACCGATGAACTTAAAGAGTATTGTAAGTATATTGGATTGAAACAAGGTTTGATTAAGGGAATTTATATATGGCACATACTTTGATATAATTGTATATATCTTAATTTATATTTTATATATTATATATTATATTTTATATTTTATATTTTATATTTTATA